CTCTCTCTCTCTCTCTCTCTCTCTCTCTCTCTCTCTCACCCCCTCCCCCCACCAAACGTGACCCACAGGGTTCCTTACGTTTGCGGGCGAGCGGGGAGTGCACCAGGGCACAGTAGCAGACAAATGGTGAGAGGGGGCGAGTACAGTGGAGCAGACAAATGGTGACAGGGGGGCACCCCAACTGCACTTGGCCAATCTGCTCATTGCAAACAGCCAACGACCAAGGTAACTCAAACTGCATCTTCTCTCTCTCTCTCTCTCTCTCTCTCTCTCTCTCTCTCTCTCTCTCTCTCTCTCTCTCTCTCTCTCGTGCCTGGCTCCGCAATATTAGATAAAATACATGAGCTTGGATGACATCCGACTGGCCGTCTGATCTGAATTTGGTGGAACCCAGGTGGATATGATCTACTTGCTTGCATCCATCAGGTAGGATGAAATCGGATTGTTTAATTCACTCAATCGGAAGTGAAGATCACCAGGTTTTATTTGGGGGAGGTCGAATAGGAGTTGAGTGATTGTTGGCTTGAAGCGGGTTCAGAATGAGTTCCCTGTTCTGATTCAACCATAGTATTTCTGATCGATCAGATTCAGGTAAACCAGATTGGACTTGTTGATTTAATGTGGTCAGCTTGATGGGGACTCTTTCAGCTTCGATCACATTGGATGGGACCGGCAGCAGAAAGGTTTGTGTTAGATAGGGCTAGCCTAGTGCATACTACGAGCAGGTCCATTCACATTTACTAGCAATAGCTGAAGAATTAATCAGGCTGCAGCATGGTTTGCAGGCAGACCGAATTGGAGCTATCTGCGCAGAAATGGCTTACATCCCAGTTTCGCTATTCCGACAAAACAGTCAGTCATAGTCACCCTTCGTTTGTGTTGTGCTTAGTGAATGCATAACACATGCTTCCCCCCACCCATTGAATTTGATCTATCTGCGCAGAAATGGCTTACATTCCTGTTCGCCTTTTCCAACAGATCAGTCTGTCACAGTCAGCCTTTTTTTCATGGAGTTGTGTTTAGTGGATGCAGAACACACCCTCCCACTACTTACCCATGCAATCGCACACGCCCTGGAGCTATCTGCACAGACATGGCTCGCATCCCTGTTTTGCTATTCCTACAGAAAGGTCTTTCACAATCACCTGAAACTTGCTGAAAGGATTCACACGGCCCAGAGTTCCAGTTCCGAGTCCCAGTATCAGAGTCCGCCTTGTAGCATAGTTCCACAAGTAGGAGCATTACAGTAGGTCCTATAGATTGTCTAGTAGGCTGGTAGGTTCTTCCATCATGTCCCATAAACAACATTTAACCTACATTGTTGTCATAGTTCGATAGAAGTTTTAAATATGAAACAAGCATACAATCATTTCTTGCAATACACAACATTTCAGAGGCCGACATGCAGCTCAGTCCCAGGAAAGCCCGTGAAACATCCGGATGCATAGGAAACAGACCGTGGCCGACAAGTACTTGGGTACCGGTCCAGAAAGATCCAAATTTGGCACCTAAACCAAGTACATGAGGCCATCCGAACCAGCGGCAACGCAATTTCCTTCATGCACTCTGCGGAAACACTGCTGCTATCTTCTGTGGTTAGACATGAATGGGAATCGAGCATAGGGTTAGTCAATGGCGCTGAGCTCGGGGGAGAGAGAGAGAGAGAGAGAGAGAGAGAGAGAGAGAGAGAGAGAGAGAGAGAGAGAGAGAGAGAGAGAGAGAGAGAGAGAGAGAGAGAGAGAGAGAGAGAGAGAGAGAGAGAGAGAGAGAGAGAGAGAGAGAGAGAGAGAGAGAGAGAGAGAGAGGGGTGCAGGGTAGATTGAGGGAAAGAGATATGGACCTGTTGCTTGCTGGCGCCCATAAACGCCAGGACACTGACGTATGAAAGACTATGTGTGAAGCTGTGTGTGTGTGGACTTAGTGCATCGTGAATAAGAAAGTGTGGATCATTGCAGTGCTATCAGCACAGGCTCTCATTGTCTTCTAAGTGTGAATGGGAGTGGCATGTGGAAGGAAGTTGAACTGCCGTACAAAAGATAAAAGGCCACCACGTGGCCCAAAAAAAAAAAAAAAGGACAAGGGTGATTGATTGGTGGCAGCAGGGGAATGGAAGGAAGGGGGAAAGGCGCCTAGCGGTGTGGTAGAGAGGGATTGAAGCGGGGAGTAGGACCCCAACACCGGATCGGGATTGAAGCGGGGAGTAGGACCCCAAAGGGGATGTCTCCTAGAGAGTTGGAAGAACTGAGAAAACAGTTAGATGAATTGATAGAGAAGGGGTGGATTAAACTTAGCTTCTCGCCCTATGGTGAACCTATGTTGTTTGTTCCCAAGAAAGCAGGCAAATTGAGAGTGTGTACAGACTACAGGGGACTAAATGCCATTACAGCGAAAAACGCTGAGCCGCTGCCGAGGATTAGATGATCTGTTAGATTGACTGCAAAGATGTAAGTATTTCTCGAAGATCGATCTGAAATCAGGGTATCACCAAAAAGAAGTGGAGCCTGAGAACCAGCTTAAGACTGCGTTACGGACCCGGTATGGACAATATGAATCTAGACTGATGCCCTTTGGTTTGATTAACGCCCCTGTTACGTCTCAAAGATGAATGAATGATATCTTTAGAGGGTGGGTAGAGCGTTTCATAGTTGAATACTTAGATCATATATATGAGCACCAGGAACATTGCAGAAAGTTTTGAGTAAATCCAGAGAGAAAAAGTTAAAGGTAAAACCCAAGAAGTGTGAGAAGGCCACACAGCAAGTGTTGTATGTAGGCCATGTGATTGGTGGAGATGGGGTAAGACCGTAGGATGCAACCATAGCTGCAATCAAAGATCGGTAAGACCGTAGGATGCAAACATAGCTGCAATCAAAGATCGGCCAATGCCTAAGACCCCGACGGAACTATGCTCGTTCCTAGGCCCTGCTAATTACTATAGGAAATTCATGCATATTTTCCACTTGCAGCTCCATTATGCTGAATGTTCAGAAAAGAAGCGGTATGACTATGGGATAGAGATTGCACCTCTGCCTTCAGACAGTTGAAGAAGTCATTGATTCAGTACCGTATACTTAAGATACCACATCTGAAAGGCATTCCACGATACAGACCCCAAATTCGAATTTCAGGGTCAAGGTCTCAGGCCAAGGGAGGCCCAGTCGGCCAGTTCAGAAGGTCACATTCGGGTACCTTAGGAGTCAAGTCCAACAGGCACCTGGTGAACAGTCACATCCCAGAGGCAAAGGTTGCATTCAATAAGCAGAAGTCACGTCTCATATTGAAAAGTCATATCCCACAGGCAAAGGACACTTCTCGAGGCAAAAGTCGTGTCCCAGGGGCAAGAGTCACATCCGACAATCAAAAGTCATGTTTCACAGGTGAAAAATCGTGACTCACAGACCCCAAGCAGCAGCACACCAATGGAAATTCGGGAAAGTATCAGGCCTTGACATTCTGAAGCAAGCAGGCCGTGGGCATGTGGTACCGGTCCAAGTCAAGCCAAAGGAAGCAAGGGCTGGGACGAGTCCAGGCTCAGTCCAAGTCAATATAAGGACTGGCCAGCCACATTGCTCATCCATGAGAAGTGCGGAAGTGCTGTTGAAGCGCTTGTGCACTGTCTGTGTGTAGCATGTGCGAGAGCCCTGCTGGGCAGCGCTGTGTGAGGAAGGAAGGCGGCCATAGCCGCATAGGTAGTAGTAGGAGATAGAGCCAGGTAGTAGCGGATGTATTCAGAGTCAAGATCTTCAAGTAGAGAGAGAGTGGGAGAGAGAGAGAGCGCATACATGAAGAAGACAGAGGGAGAGAGAGAGCGCATGCATGAAGAAAAGAGAGAGAGAGAGAGAGAGAGAGAGAGAGAGAGAGAGAGAGAGAGAGAGAGAGAGAGAGAG